AATCCTACTTCCGTAGTGATACTGCCTCGGAAACCCAAGGAGGGGTCGCTATGAGTCGGGGCCGACTCGACGGCACATAACAACAACAACAATTATGCCTAGTGAAGGATATCTGGTGGTGCAGTGGTTAAAGCACTGGGTTGCTAACCAAGGCTGGCAGTTCAAACCCACCAGTCACTCTGTGAGAGAAAGATGAGGCAGTCTGCTTAAGTAAAGATTTATAGCTTTGTAAAACCCTATGGGGCAGTTCTACTCTGTAGGACAGCTATGAATCAAATTCGACTTGATGGGATTTATGTCTAGTATATTGTTTTCTTTTCATCAGCAATTGAAATCAGACCAAAACAGAAATGAAAAATTAAATTCTATTGATATGAAATAAAAATAACTGTTCAGAACATGAAAGAGAAATAATCGTTTACATGGATTCACTTTTTAAAAACAAAAATCACAACTCTTATTTTGTGGGGAAGGAATGTTTTTTACTTCAGATTTCTTTGTGATCACTTAATCACTATTCCAATGATGAAGGGATCTGATCTCATAAGCAAACCACACCGTGACCTAAAATTTTTATGTACAGAAGTTGGTTAAAACACAGAACCAGCATTTTGACACATTCACTTTAAGATGTTTTTCACATCAACGACTTAAAACTAGTTACTCACAAAATTATGATTGTTCACTCTGGAGGATCACAAGGGTGCTCAGACTTGATTAGAAACACTGAAAACAAACACTCCTAACCACATGGGTCTGGCTAAATGGGCCAGAAAAATTCTTGCTGAGATTGTCTGAGTGATCTGTTGATAAACAATTGTACTGTGATTTTACCACCAGCTACACTGTATTTCTATTGTGAACCTATTTCTTTGAATTTAATCCTTTGAGAAGACTCCTGCAGTACAAATCTTTAACATCTTGAAAGCTTCACAGAAGAGACTAAGAAGGCTTCTATCACTCCCAAAATGAAGTTCAAGGGTGGAATTCTCACCTTCCATGAAGACCTGGGTTCAATTCCCAGTCACTATACCTTATGTGCAATCATCACATCCTTTGTCGGTGGAAGCTTACATTGGCCATGGTGCTGAACAGATTTCAGCAGAGCTTATAGACTAGGAGGGACTAGAAGAAAGGTCTGGCAACCAACTTTCAAAAAACCAACCAAAGAAAACTCATAAGGCACAACAGTCTCAGCCACACCCAATCATGGGAATGGCACAGGACCGGGCAGAATTTTGTTTCTATTGTGCATGGTGTTGCCATGAGTTAGGGGCCAACTTGATGGCAGCCAACAACAACAAAAACATCATTATTCCCAGAAGACACTCAGATATTGTGCTCCATTTATCAGGTTAACTGCTCAAAAGTTGTAAGGCATATTATCATCACCCAATTGAATTGCTCTAACCTGGCCTTCTGCTACATGGCACTCGTCCTTGCATGCTCAGGTGAGCCAGTCCACATGTGAACAATGATAAGGACCACAACAGTGAATAAGAGCTCAGGACCATTTGGCATGTGTTTGTTAAGCTTAGGCTTATCAGTGTCATAAGGACACATCTCGATTTCTACATAGACCCTCAGACTCATATACATCTCATAGACAGATGCATAAGAACACGATCATTCTGTCCTTCACAAAGTACTCAGGATTCCAACAAGAAACTGCACAAGTTTATATAAATGCCTGTTTTCAAACCAAGTTATGAATTCAATAGTTTCTCATAAAGAACCGGAGATACTTGTTTTTAGCAATGAATTTTGGATAGGAGTACTTCCGACACACGTAGAAAGCTGCAATGTTTTTCTCCGTGGATTATAAAGTTCATTTTATCCATCATAGACCAAATTCTGCCCCTCCTCCAATCTACTATTGTTAAAAAGTATCTTTAAACTATTTATATATTTGTGGCTGTTGTTGCTCGGGGTCATCGAGTGGATTCTGACGCATAGTAACCCTATGTACAACACAAAGAAAGAAATCCCTGTCATAATAAAAATATGAATATATCTAAGTATTTGTATATTTAGATATATTTTTATTTTTATTAAGTTGAACCTTATGGAACTCATGTTTTTGACATATAAAAACAAGTTTTTTCACAGGGCTGAGCCCAATAAAACATGAACACAAGTCTTCAGCAGGGAGAATGAAAATGCTTACCCCCCTCACCAGTTCTATGCAGCCTTGCAAAACTGTGCTTGGAAACTGCTGGTGAATTTCATGACTCATAGTGGCTAAAGCACTTGACTGCTCACCAGAAGGCTGGCGGTTCAAACCCACCAGCCACTCCTCGGAAGGAAGGTTGGGCAATCCTACTTCCGTAGTGATACTGCCTCGGAAACCCAAGGAGGGGTCGCTATGAGTCGGGGCCGACTCGACGGCACATAACAACAACAACAACATTTTAGAGGTGTAGTAATTTCCACAAATTTAGTATTTAACTGAAGAAAATCTGACCCAAACTGGGTATACTGTCTTTGTAACTATGTCACCCATTTACCTTGAAAGATTGCTTTTGTAGGTTTAAGGTCAGCCCTAGAATCAACAGATCAAATAATAAAATACCAAAGCATTTTCAATTTGGAATTCTGCCACCTTTATCTCCTCTGTAACATTCCATATTATACAGTATTCCACAGTGTCTACCCTGAGACACTGTGCTAAGCACCAGTGAAAGAGAGAAGCCCCAGACCTTGCTTTCAAGAAACTTACCCTCTGTTTAAAGAGATAAAAAAACATATATATATATAAATAACAAGAGGATATTCTAAGTGCTTTCAGTTTCAAACTGGACAGAGTAAAAAGTGGAAAGGTAACAGCACTTCAGGAACTTTGAATCCACTTCAAACATTAAAGGCAATGGGCCAAATATGAATGTGTATTCAGTCTAGATGCAGGTTAGCATGATAGTCGAAGGTGTCCTCTTCCATGGATCTGGACCCAAGAAGTCCTCTTATCGCCCCAGAAATAATGATTAGAGATCCTCCAGGTCAGTTAAATCCACAGCCACTTTCAAGAACAGGGTGTCATCCTTAACGTAGGTGTTCTTGGCACTCTCCAGTGTGGAATGAGCCACGAAGCGGGGACAGCCAGATGCAATGTTCATTTCCCCATCAGGTCTTTTAAAGCTGCTGCTATTGGGGTCAGCCTTGAAGGTCTCCATAATGTGGTTCTTTTTGCCACTCTGGTCCAAAAGCATCAGGGTCACCCTCTGCTTGAATGGCCACTGCAATAGTGAATCAAACTCCCCTCGCATCACCACAAAGTATAGTGACAGGTGCGTCCCCTTCCCAGACCCGTCCCCATTCAGGTAAGCTCTAGCGCAGAGCCGGTAGCCACACCGGCTGGTGTAGAAGGGCTGGCTGAAGATGGAGACCGTGTGCCCGTCCACTGCCTCCCTCTTCTTCATCTTGTAGTCTGTCACCTTCCAGATGAGCTTCCCATTATAGCATGCACCCTCAAGCAGTTTAAATCGCTCTTCATTTTTATTCAGCTGTGCTTTATGAATATTAATGTGGGCATCATGTTTATTAGTCTGCCCTTCCAAAACAACTGCAAGGAGAAAAAACAAAAAAGATTCCATAGGACTAAGAGTTGTCTTTGGGATTTTTCCCAAATAGAATTTTATCTACAATTCTGACATTGTGAAGATCAACTGAATCCAAAGTCCACAAATGGACCATTGCTGTTAATAATACTAACTCAGTGGACTTCATGTCTTGACAAATATGGCACCAAAAAGCCCTGAAGGTACACCGTTAGAGTAAAGCTTGTGACTGAATGAACATGCGTGGTGAGCCCCAGCTTTCTAATTAGATTGCTTTTAAACAACCAAACCCTTGCATATTTTTCCATACTTTAAAAAAAGTTCCTACCACATCTTCTCTCAGTACTCTCATTATTTTCCATTCTCCTTAAAAACCACCACTGGCCCACTTCCACCCCTTGCCTGTTTCTACAGCCTCCCACTCATGGGCCTCCCTCAATCTTACCTAAGTGGACAGAATCTCATGCTGTTCTCTTCCAGGGACACTAGCATCTGCCACAGTTTATCCTGGACAGCAAAGGCTTGCCATTTTCCCAGATGTTTGCTTGTTTTGCAAACACATGTAAACAAAGCCACCCAAAGAGAAGTAAAACATCAAGACATACCTAATTTTTGATCATTGGTTTCTAGCAGGGTAATTTTCTGTTTAATTGTATCAATTGCTTCTACCAAAGGCCTCAGGTCGAGTTTATTTTGTTGCTGGTTAGCCGCTTGTAATAACTGACACACTTGTGCTTCTAGCCAAGCAGATTTGTCAATGTGACTGGCAAGAGCCTTTTGGTACAAAATAGATCATAATGTTTAAAAAAGTAAATAAATAAAGGTCATTAATGCTTTAACACTTCATTGAGATTAATTTTTTCAACTCAAATATTTCACATGAAAAATACACAGTCCAGAAGAGAACATTCAATGGGGACCACTGAGGGTTCAACCATCTACTAATCTTTCTATCCTGTCCCAGCTCCTGTTCCAAATCTTTTAACTTTTCTTCACCTGAAATTTACTCTTCTTTCATTGTCTCTACTTGGTTCTCTAGGAGCTCTCTCTGGTGGCGCAGTGCCTAAAGCACTTGACTGCTAACCAGAAGGCTGGCAGTTCAAACCCATCAGCAACTCCTTGGAAGGAAGGAGTATATATGTATGTATCTACATATATACATACATACACATACACATACATATGTAAATGTTCTGATACCCACCCACAACCATCAAGTCGATTCCAACTCATAGTGACCCTATTGGACAGAGTAGAACTGCCTCATGGGATTTCCAATGCTGTAACTTTTTACAACTGCAGACTGCCACATCTTTGTCCTGCAGAAGACTGGTGGGATCAAACTGCTAACATTTTGGTTAGCAGCCGAATGTCTTAACCAGTGCACGACCAGAGCTCCTTAATGTTGGAAATTATATAGTTTAGATTTCCCTGGGATAATCCAAATTTCAAATATATTGCTCATACCACATATCTTGAAATCCTTTTCATTAGGAATTCATTTGTGATTCTTTAACACTCATGGTTTGAAAAAGTAATTTTTTCCTCTACTTTAGTGATGTTTAAAGCATATTTCTTCCCAAGGGAATGAATAGTTTCACTTTGTTGACTATAAAATGCAGAACTACAGATGCTCACAATGAATCTGAAACCAAGAGACTAATATTAGCCTATGTTCATTAAAACCCTCATTGCTATAGATTATATAAAGGTATATATAAAGGTAGGGAGCTCTGGTAGCATAGTGCCTAAGGCACTTGACTGCTAACCAGATGGCTGGTGGTTCAAAACCACCAGGTGCTCCATGGAAGGAAGATGGGGCAATCTATTTCCATAGTGATACTGCCTCAGAAACCCAAGGAGGGGTCGCTATGAGTCGGGTCCAACTCGATGGCACATAACAACAACAACAATAACAACAGTGGTAAAGGGATATAACATATGAAGCTTACTCCCAAATGTTCAGAAAGAACACACACACACACACACACATATGGAGAGAGAAAGAAGGAGAGGAAAATGGGACAAAATGTTGACAATGGGTGACTCTGGATGGAGGGTAAACAGATATTCTTTGCACTATTCTTATTCTGTACATTTGAAATCACTTCTATATAAAAACTTAAAAGTAAAGCCTCACTGTGAATTGAAAGTTACATTTTGTCTTTCATTGGAAAGGCCATTTCTCACCTGGATGTTTGATAGCAATTTTCCATTTTTGCCAAACAACTGTGAAAACTGCTTAAACTCCTTTTCAAATTTCTTAACAGTTTCTGCTAGCTGCTGGATTTTACTGTCTTTCCGTTCTAGGCTCTTATGTAAATCAGAAATCTAGTAACAAGAATGTGAATGGGGAAAAATGAGGTCATTTATATGCATGCATATACAATAATTTAAATATCTTCCCTGCCCCCCCAGGTACCAGCTGGACAAGTCCACCTCATAGTGACCCTATAGGACAGAGTGGAACTGCCCCATAGGTTGTAGTCTTTATAGGAGCAAACTGCCAAATCTTTCTCCTGTGGAGTGGCTGGTGGGTTCAAACCTCTGACCTTTCAGTTAGAAAGCAAGTGCTTAATCACTGTGCTACCAGGGCTCTAATTTAAATATAGCTCTTGGGAAATACAAGCAAGAAGGTGTTTATACAAAATATATATATAAATTTAATATTATTAGGGAAATGATAGCTAACCCAGTAATAATTAGGCAAAACATATATATATATATATATATATATATATATATATATATATATATACAATATATATATACATACACATACATACATATTTCTAGGAACATGTTTATAGGTAGAAACCAAAAAATCCAAACTTATTGCCATTGAGTTGATTCAGACTCTTAACGACCCATTATAGAAGTAGATTGCCCCATCTTCCTTCCATGGAGCACCTGGTGGTTTTGAACCATCAACCTCCTGGTTAGCAGTCAAATGCCTTAGGCATTGTGTCACCAGAGCTTTCTATATAATTCTAGGAAAATATTTGCTGGTGGTTTCAGAAAACCAGATTCACAGAATTTCTCATCAGTCTTTTCTATACCTAACCTGTGATAATGGTTCATCTAATGATGGTGACATCACTTGACTGTATTTACTGAACTGGTTCTCTTCACTTGTATGCATTTATTAAAGAACCACAGAGTACTGAGCACTATACCACACAAGATGCTATATGCAGAATACCAACAATACTAATAATACCTAAAATTTGCTGAATATCTACCATACCTTCATACTCATTAGCTCTTTTAACCCTGAAAAAACCCCATGAGGTCAGCACCATCCTCTTAAACCCATTGTGATGAATGTGGAAATGGAGGCAGAGAGTTTAAGTATCCTGCCCAGATCACAGCTCATAAGTGGTAGGCAAAACATACTACTCAAGATTTGTGACCTCTTTGAAAGAATCAACCAGAAATTTACAAGTGATCCTAGTTGACTCCTCTCTCCTCTCCATATTCAATCAATCAGCCATCTGCAACCTAACTCCTACAATAACTACCACTACTACTAATAAACCTCAAATCCATTTGCTTCATCTCATTCTGGTACTAGTTTCAGCCTTCATCACTTCTCTCCTGCGATATTATAATAGCTTCCTTCCTAAGTAGTCCCAGGCTACATCCAATCCCCTCTGCATACACAAACAGCAGAAGGTAAGCTCTGTATGAGTTGGGACCAGCATGGACTTCAGTGTCCACTGCTGTAATCTCAGCAACTAGACTGGTGCCTGACACCAGCAGGTGCTGCATAATTATCTATTGAATGAGTGAATGCATGCACTCACTCGTGCCTTTAGTGTTTTAGGTGCCATTGAGTCAGCTCTGACTCATAGTGACGCTATGTGAAACAGAACACAACACTGCCCAGTCCTGCACCATCCTCACAATCCTTGCTATGCTTCAGCCCATTGTTGGAGCCACTGTGTCAATCCATCTCGTTGAGGGTCTTCCCCTTTTTCACTGACCCTCCATTTTACCAAGCATGATAGCCTTTCTCCAGGCCTTTAGTCTTGCTCTCTCCTCCAATTCAGATTCATATATTGTGTCCAGGCTAATATTAAGTGATAAACCTGGTTAGGTCACTTTCCTACTTAAATGTCTCCAATGGCTTTCTTCTGCAGGCCATGCAGGGCCCTACATGATCTGCCTGCCAATTCTCTGTTGTATGTCCATTCCCATCCCATCTGCACATTGCCCAGCAAGACTAAACAACTTCTATCTCCCTTCAGGTCCTGCTCTCTCAGATGCGTTCCTCCTTCATCTAGAAATTCCCACCCTTTAAGTCTCTACCCAAGGGCACATCGTGTCAGAAACATTTCCTTACTAGAACCATCACCAAGGAGCTCTGGTGGCACAGTGATTAAGGCATGTGCCAGCTACCTTAAGGGTCAGTGGTTTAAATCCACCAGCTGCTCTGAAGAAGACAGATGAAGTAGTCTGCTTCCATGAAGATTTACAGCCTTGGAAACCCTTTGGGGAAGCGCTACTCTGTCCTGTAGGGTCACTAGGAGTTGGAATCAACTCAGTGGTAGTAGGTTTTTCAGGCTACTTCTTAAGTTCCATGACATCCTGTCCATAAAAAATCCCACTGCCATCAAGTCAGTTCCAACTCCTAGTGACCCTACAGGACAGAGTAGAACTGCCCCCAAAAGGTTTCCAAGGCTGCAAATCAGAAAGACTGCCACATCTTGCAGAGTGGCTAGTGGGTTAAACCTCTAATTTCTCAGTTAGCAGCCAAGTGCTTAACCACTGTGCCACCAGGGCTCATTATCCTGTCCATAACTTGTGTATAACTTACCCCTATTAGTCTCATAACTTGCTCTTTTTTGGGGGGTGCTCTGTTTTCTCTACTAAACTGTTTTTTGAGGCTATAGCCAGGTTCCATCTCACCTACTCTGGTCATGCTGTCAGAAAGGACCAGTGCCTGGAGAAATATATCATGGTTGTAAAATAGAGGGTCAGTGAAAAAGGGGAAGACTTTCTTTCTCTTTTTTTATTTATTGTGATTTGGGTGAAGATTTACAGAGCAAATTCACTTTCCATACAGCAGTTCACATATACTTTGTCTCATGTCATTGACCA